GAGTTCACAGAAAAAGTGGGGGATTTCCAAGTCTGTACAGGACAGTCTCAGCACCATTAAGCTTTGTAACAAGGCATTCAGGACACACATGATCCAGGACACCAGAACCAGTAGTCCACAGAGCCGGGGGTGCATGATGACCGTGTAGTGCAGGGGGTGACAGATGGCCACAAAGCGGTCATAGGCCATCACAGTCAGGAGATAGACGTCCAATCCTGCAAATAGTGTGAAAAAATACATCTGTGTGATGCAGCCTTCATAGGTTATGACTTTGCTCTGTGTCTGGATGTTCACCAGCATCTTGGGGATGGTGGTAGAGGTGAAACAGATGTCCACAAAAGACAGGTTGGAGAGGAAAAAGTACATGGGCGTGTGGAGGTGGGGGTCTGAGCTGACCGTCAGGATGATGAGCAGGTTTCCCAACACAGTGATCAGGTACATGGAGAGGAAAAGCCCAAAGATGAGGGGCTGCAGTTCTGGCTCCTCTGAAAGTCCCAGGAGAAGAAATTCTGAAACTCTTGTAATATTCCCTGGTTCCATGAAGAACAGGTGACTTCCAAGACAGAAAAATAAAATGAGTAATTTTCATACAAGTGACATTACTCAGATAGCTCTAATGCTACATTTATATTTTGCAGCCAAATGATTAATTTCAATATTTTAGTATGGATCTGATTCTTCTACGGGTTTCTGTGCCATTTCACATTAGAAATTTTGATCCCAATTGCTTCTTTCCAAAGGTGTCATGTATTCTACAGTTTTCATGAGAAATTCTTCGTGTATTTCAAGAATATAAAGTGACTGCTTAGCATGTTTTAGGTACTGTCTAAAGTGTGAGTATTCGAGTACTTAAAAACAGAAATTCATACAAATCAATGATGGAGAAAAAATATGCAACCTAATAATAAAAATATATTACATTTCAGATGGTGACAGATCATTAAAGAAAAGGAAACAAATTTTTAACTTAGTGACTATTGTATTTCTTTTTCAAAGGACATTTAGTCAAGACCTGCAAAAAAGTTAACATTTGAACAGAGACCTCAGTGAAGAAAGAAAGGGACAGGCAAGGTAATGTTGGCAAGTGTGTACCTGGAAGAAGGAATGGCCAGTGCAAAGGCCCTGGGGTGGAGCAGGAGTGGTTTCCTAATCTGTCCAAAGTGAATATCAGAGTATCTGAAGGGCCTGTATTATAATGTATTTCATGTTGCTCTCAGCAGAGTTTCTCACCCAGAAATGCTTTTGTGCCTGGGGCATCTGGCATTGCCTGAAGGAATACTGCTAAACACCCACAATTCACAGGACAGCACCCCACCCAATTACTATTCAGCCTCCAAGGTCAACAGTTAGAAGGTGAGCAAACCTAGTCAAGACCGGCCCTTCAACTTGAGTGTGCTTATGAATCAACAAGGATCCTACCAGAAATGCAGAATTTGAATCAGCAGGTCATGGGGGCCTCAAAGAGGCTGCATTTCTAACAAGGGGGTATTGATCCTGCAGGTCCTGGTCTGTGGACCATTCTCTGAATATCAAGGATAAGGTCCTGTGTTAGACTCAGGTATAGGCACTTGTAGGTCTTCTGAGCCATGCATTTCTTTGCATGCATTATTAAAGCAATAGTGTATTCACTCATTCCAGAAACTGTGGTACATTCTGTGTTTATTTCTTTTATATAAGGGCCCCTGAGTGACACGGAATACTACGCTTTTAACAGACTTTGTAGTGAGCAAAACAAGGACCTCCAAAATATGTCCACACTCTATCCCACTGCCTTTGTGTTGGATATTTTTATAACAAGAAAGGATTAGGGTAGAAATGGGACAGGCTTTCTAATGGGCTGACTTTAAGAAGATGATCAGGTACATCCAGATGGAACTAAAGCAGCGGTTCTCGAATGACCTTTTCACAGGG